TGGCAAGATTGTATATTTCAGAGATTGTCAGATTGCATGGTATTCCATTGTCTATTATTTCTGATCGAGATCCGAGATTTACTTCGAGATTTTGGAAGGCGTTACATACGGCTTTGGGAACAAGATTGGATTATAGTACATCCTTTCATCCACAAACTGATGGTCAATCTGAGAGAGTAATTCAGATTCTGGAGGATATGTTGCGGGGTTGCGTAATCGATTTTCATGGTAGTTGGAGAACTTTTTGCCGTTGGCTGAATTTGCTTACAATAACAGTTATCAGACCAGTATTCGTATGGCACCCTATGAAGCACTCTATGGGCGTAAATGTCGCACTCCGATCTGTTGGACTGAGTTGCGTGATAGGAAAACGTTGGGATCTGAGTTAGTGCGAGAGATGGAGGACACAGTCAGATTAATCCGTGACCGTCTGAAAGAGGCATTTGATAGGCAGAAATCTTATGCAGATCAAAGAAGGAAGGATATACAGTTTGAAGTGGGAGATCGGGTCTTTTTGAAAGTTTCACCCTGGAAGAAAGTATTGAGATTCGGGCGTAAGGGTAAATTAAGTCCAAGATTTATTGGACCATTTCGTATCTTGAAGAGAGTAGGACCTGTTGCATATCAGCTTGAGTTGCCTTCTGAGTTAAGTCGTATTCATGATGTTTTTCATGTATCAATGTTGAGGAGATACCGTCCAGATCCAGGTCACATTATTCAGGTTGAAGAAGTAGAGCTAAGACCTGATTTGTCATATGAGGAGGAGCCCATTCAGATTTTAGAAAGAGATGAAAGAGTTCTTCGGAATAGGCGAATTCCAATGGTCAAAGTTCAGTGGAGTAATCGAGGCCTCTCAGAAGCTACTTGGGAGACATTGGAGTCAATGGAGGCTCAGTTTCCTCAACTATTCTCATAAGGTAAATTTCGAGGACGAAATTTCTTGTAGAGGGGGAGAATTGTAACAACCCGAAATAAAATTTAGAGAAAAAAAAAATTAATTAAGTAATTTGGCAAAATTTGAGGATTAAATCGAAAGTTTTCAAAATTGTAGGCCATTTTAGAAGTTAAAGGAAATTCAGGACCAAGCCCTGCATTACTCCTTTTAGTGTCGGCATAAAATTTCATTTAAGCGTATGAATGGTTTTCTGTTTTCAAAACAGAAAACAATTGTGAAATTCCTCCTCCCGCACTCTACTTCAAAGCCGATTCCGACGCCGTCCGAATTCCGATCGTTGTTTGAAACCACCGTTGTGTTCATCATCGAGCGAGGAACAAACCCTTCAATTAATTGAAGCGAAACGCGGCCAAACGTCGGGAATTTCCAGTCAAAGTAGCGACGGTTTTGTTAGCTCTATCGCCGAGGAAATCTTAAATTCACCGCTGATCGTTGCTCCGTTTACGACACCTCCCGCACCATCGTGTTCCTTGTGCCGTTCCGAGTTCACCGTGTCAACCTTGTCCGCCGTAGACGGCGGCGCGTGAGGAGGTGGTGCAGTCAAAGATTCGGCCGATTTGAAATCGAGCTCTCCGCCGTTCAAAAATTTGAACCGATCGTTGTAAGTATCTTGAAATCGCTCAAAATAATTTTTAGAAATTTTTCCGGGATTTTTAGGGCCCCGGAGGATGCCTCACGCGCCACACGCGCCGCCGCAGGGCGAGTGGCTGCTGGAAACCGGTTTAACCGGTTTTCAACCGGTTCTGACCGGTTTGACCGGTTTCAACCGGTTCGAACCGGTTTGACCGGTCTGAATCGGTTTGACCGGTCTGACCCGACCCGACCGTTGACCCGACCCGACCCGAACGTTGACCCGACCCGACCCGACCGTTGACCCGACCCGACCCGACCGTTGACCGTTGACCGTTGACCGTTGACCATTGACTTTCTTTGACCAAACTTAAAATGGCTTTGACCGAGCATTAAACGACCGTTAATCTTTTCCGAGTATACCTATCCTGATAGTTTTCGACGTGCCAAATCCGTTTCCGTGGTCCGTTTTGTCAAATTCGAATCCGAAGGTCTCCAAATCTACGGTCAAAGTGGTTGACTTTGACTTTGACCAAGAATTTGAATTTTCGAAAAGTCATACTTTATGTTTTTCGACGCCCTGATTCCGATTCCGTAATCCGTTTGGCCAAATTCAGACTCGAAATACCTCAAATTGATAGTCAAACCTGAAAAATGCGTATATACTTAAGAAGTTTAGCTTTGAACAATTAAATAGGATTTGAGACTGATAAATATTATTGTTTGAAGGTACAAGAGACTCTCCGGATCGTTCGACAGCTCGACCCAGCTCTTCTAGATCAGTTAAACCACGTGTGCCAGTATTTACCCGTTCGAAAACTGTAGCAGAGCGTGGTGAACCAGCAATCAGTAGATTTGTTATTTGAATCTATTGTCGAGGTGTGTTCCCTACTTGTTATTGAACTGTTTTATTGGTTTTAATACGTGGTACACCGAATTCATTGGCTATTGTTTTATGGATGCACCAATTTAATGTGACAATTTATGGAATATGGCTGCTATCTAATTTTTGTTTTGAAATGGTATATGATTACCATGTTTTTGGATTTATGGAGTTTATGTCACGGTGCAATTGAATTTTGGAATTGAAATACGATGGAATAGCTCTGATCAAGCTAACTGGGCCTAATGTGACTCTTGAGGGCCCCAAGATGTTTCATTAGGTCGGCTTTCCTTTGCTGTGTGCTTAGGGTAAGCTATATGGACTTATTGACTTGGGCTTAAGGATACAAGCTTCAGAGCCTATCCTTAAGTCGGTTTCTTTTTGCTATGTGCATAAATTAAGCTATATGGAAATAATTTGGGAACTACTGATGGTGTACCAGAAAAGGGTTTAAACTATGATTTTCAAAAAGTTAAACTCTTTTACGAATTTGTGAGATTATTGGAATATGATTTGTACCTATTGTGATTTTATGGAAATGTTGGGACACACTGAGCCTAGCTCACCTTTTGAAAATGTTTTCCCCTTTCAGATACTGTTGGGTAGATACCTTGGTTCGAGCACTTGGAGGATCAACATATCTCTTGAAGTAAATCAGATTGTAATGTTTTTATCTGGCAAGTTTACTTTATTTTGGTGACATGGACCTTATTTTAAAAATATCGGATTTTATAATGATAACACTTTTGCTACTACTGCTCGGTTTATTGTGATTTTGAATTTGAAGACATGTTTTAAATTAAATTATTATTTATTTGTACTATATTTACAAGTTGGATTTTGATAGTATAAATTGTTTATAATTTCATGTTTTTATAATGTGATTTTATATTGATGGAATAACGGTTGCGAAAAATGTCTTTAATAATTATAATGTGATCCACTAGACTTAGTCGAAACGCATAGGCCGGGTCTAGGGGGGTTACAAATATCTTCTTGCAAGTGAGGGGAGAGGCTAAGAAATAAACGCAATCGGTGTTGCATTCCATCAATTCTTTCTCCATTTTTTCTTTGTAAATAAAAAACTGAAAGACAGAGCAGTGCTTGGGTTTACAATTTTACATGGCGGAAAATTGAAGAACAAAAACCAAACAAGAGTGCATGTGAGCGAAAGAGATTGAGAGGTGAATGCGCTGTTTGGGATTTCATTATATTTGATCATTTGTTGAAAAATCTTTAACCACAAGGATTAAACGAATAAATTATTATATGCCATTTATACAAAATAATTTCAGCTTTGTTGGTGACTTTCAACAATGATACTTAGTTCATCTTAGTAGTATTTGTCAACTCTGCATTTCTAACCCCATTTTTTTCTCACAGACATTTCATCGAACATCTATGCTTCACATGAGATGACCTGTATCTAACATTACAACTTGAATCGTGATGGTCCCGATAATCCATTGGTCGAGTCTTCTCTCAATGGACCCTTATTCAAGTCAACACCTCCACATAATTCAAATTTAGATTAGAATTTCCCATGCATCCCTGACTGAAAAGTTACGCTAGAAAATGAGATGATAGAAGCGAAAAAGGAAATTTGAGATCGAAAAAGAATTTGAGGTTTAGAATGAAATTAAAGACTGTGTTACAAGTTTTAAAAGTTAGGAGAAATAAATGAAATATTTAAAAAAGTTCAGTGACCATTGTTATACTTTACCCTATTTTTAAACGTAACGATTTTTAACTAACTGATGTAAAATTAACAGCGTTGAAAGTGAAGTGCACAGCACGCGCTACAACATGCGATAGGGAAAACATCAAACTCCCTTCCATCCACCAATTTTCCCGTCAAAAGTTTCCCTCTCTTTCCATGAAACTGAACGTGTCAACGCGTCAGAATGAGCTGGCTCAAATCCTGCGTGCCAAAATCATAAGTCTTTCAAAGATAGAGAGAGAGAAAGGAAAGGGAAGCATTTTTTCTTCTTTTTTAGTTTCAAACAGGTACTTCTTTCAGCTCTTGAAAACCTCATGTTCTATAAATTAATTTACTCTCAACTGGATTTTTTGTTGTTTTCTTGTACTGTTTCTTTGATCTTTAGCTCTGGGTTTTTGTGGGTTTCTAATTTTATGACTGTTCAAATGATAGTTGGAACCGTATAACTGTCATTTTTAGGGTTTAATGTGCAAAAGGGTTTTTGACCTTTATCTTTTGATGTTTTCCTGTTGTAATTAAGGTATTTTGATGGGATGTTACTGTGTTTTATGAGAACTTGAGGACTGGGGTTGACTTTAATTTTGGTGGGTTTTACTTGAAGATTTTGTTTTTGTTTGATATGACCACTTACCTTCTTATCTCTTCATCTAGTAATTTTCTTACCTTGCTCTTTCTATTTTAAGTTTGCTTGTATGAGAACTCCTCTCTTAAGCCATAACATGAAGAACCTCATATTTGTCCGAGATCAAGATCTAGGTTTCAGAATTGTGGTATTCAGTGTTATTTTAAGTTGATTATCTTAACATTTTTTAGTAGTTCTAGAAGGAAAAAAAATGTCATGGACTTTAATTATCTCAACATATCTCACTGCTTAATTCACCATTATTTTGCTTGAAAATCCTTTCTTTTATATGTCAGTCTATTTGTTGTGTTAGTTCTCATACCAATTTGTTTTAATATCTTTGCTTCTTATCTTGATGATTCATGTAACACTTTTGGTTTTTATTTGATTGTTTAGAGGTGTCCCCACTGATGTTCCATAGTCGAGATTGTGGAATACATAACATTTGCAGATCAGATGCCATCACTAAGAATGAGGACCAAATCAAGCACGGGTTCTTTAAGAGAAAAAAATGGTCTCCGCGTGTGGCAGAAGTCTAGCATGATTTGTAAAAGACCCTGCTGTCATGTCAGAGTTTCTCAACAAGAAGCTGAATTCATTTCACGCATTCAAAACTCCCATGATAGTAATCGACCAAGACTGATACTTGTTTAATACTCTAATGTTAATTGCTACTATTACCGATATCATTTAGTGTCCTATATATTATGTTGTTTAGTAAGCGCACACATCAATCATTGGAGATTATAGGAAATTAGGATCTCATTTCTTGTACATATGGCTTTGCATGTATTCTCTGCCTTGAAACCTGTTGGTTCATCCTCTATGTGGTACATCCAAGCAAAAGAGTCTACTGGTTATTCGCTCATATTCATTTGTTTACTTACATGTGTGCATGATAATCTTCTTGTTTTAGGGATTTAACTTGTTCTTTTCTTGAAATGTTTTAAAGGGAAGATACTATGTTGCTATCTTGGCTTTTTAATTTGCTTGCTGACTGTTTATAGATTCATCAAATGTAGAGGTGACCTCTCAAGTCTTTGAAACTGATGGAGCCTGTGCTGAACAACTAATTTTAAATGAACACAATTCAGAGCTTCAAAAACAGCTTTCAGTTATTGTTGATTCTGCTACAGTAGGGAGAAAGGTCGGTTTTTATTTTGTTTATGACCTTACTTTATGATTTTAGTTGTTAATTTGGCCTCCGTTTTGAAGATATGATGGAGTAGACTGCTTTCTTACTTAGTTTGCGTTAGCTTATTCATTTGCAGGAAACTGCCTACAGCTGTGCCTCAAACTTAGAGACTATATTCTCTCCTTTCCTGGAGTCGATCTTAATACACAATCAACCAAATATCGACAATAATACAGGTTATTTTTTGTTTCAGCTGATAAAATGCTCTACACTGCATGAATTTGTTGCCGATTCTCCCGTTTATGGGGCTATATGCTTATATGAACTTCCGGTATTTAGGAGTTTTATGCATTTGATATTTCATGTCAAGTGATAAAAAATCATATTTTTGTTCTTTGCATAAAATAAAATTCTTTGCAAAAAGTATAAAACAGTAACCTGCCTTCTTAACAAAGCCTGGCACCTTACTGTTCTGCTTATGTTTGCTTATTATGATTGTCAGTTTACCTCTACTTAAATCTTTCACTAGTTGGATGAAGAACTTCTGTGGAATTCAAATAGTCAAGTTGCTGTTATGTTTTCATGTTGTGAAAGTTGCAATGTTCTATTAAGGTAGTTATTTGATATGGTTACCACTTTCTCAATTGTGGTAGGTCATAGTGATGGCCCTGAAGTGACGGAACTAGGCACCGATGATATTGATGATAACAAAAGTTCATTTGGTAGTCAAACATGTAATGTTTCAGATTTCTTTATATCGGACATGATAATTGCGAGCATACCTTTTGATGGAAATGCTGCTGATGATAACATCTCTGGAACCAATTCATTTCCTGATTTCACGTGTTCTGAGCCAAGCATGTTGTTTGACGTGTCTGAGCAATACATGATGTTGCCTTTCCTCGAGGACACTGTCAAAGTCAATGATATAAATGATGTTAATTTGCACGAGGAAGCTGCGATGGCTAAAGAAAATACCGGTTTGCATCTAGCAATTGATCAGATGAGAACTTGCATAGAGGAATCTGATGTTAACTCCGACTCTGATCAAGCAGATGACTTTGACACACAATCATTTATAAAAAGTTTACCAGAACTATCTGATGTTGTATCAAGCTTCCGGCCTACTAAAGTTGCAATAGAAGCTCGGAGAAGGAAACACATAACTCTTGTGCTTGATTTGGATGGTAAGACTTGTATGTTTTCTGCTATACGTTCATTTGGTGATCTAGAAGCTTTTTTCTCTTTTCAGGATCTGTATAGGATTTCGAGATTTGCTACTTTATCACTTGGTGCCTTAAATAATGTAAAACTAATGTTATCACCATTGCTTTGATTCATGCAGAAACTCTTGTCCACTCTACACTTGAACCTTGTGATGATGCCGACTTCACCTTTACAGTTTTTTTCAACATGAAAGAGCACACCGTGTATGTAAAGCAGAGGCCTCACCTCCATACATTTTTTGAGAAAGTTGCAGAGATGTTTGAAGTTATCATCTTTACTGCCAGCCAAAGCATTTATGCAGAACAACTACTGAACATATTGGACCCAGATCAAAAACTCATATCTCGGCGAGTTTATCGTCAATCTTGCATTTTTTCAGATGGAAGCTACACTAAAGATTTGACAGTTTTAGGTGTTGATCTTGCAAAAGTTGCTATAATTGATAATTCTCCACAGGTATATTACATGCAACACTTAACCTAAATGTTTACTTCCACAAACTTCATCTTTCTTGTGTCACCTGGCAGTCAAAGTTTTTTAAGCATTTATTTCTTTTAGCTTAAACTTAATGTGTTTGCGAGATTTAATTTTACGGAGGCAAAGGTTACATGGGTTTGAACTGGTGAGTGCACGTTCTGTCACTAAACTAATTCAGATTTTGAGACATTTCTTCTAACGGTTAGAAATGATGTATAAAGTATTTGAGAATCTTTTCCACTAAAATATATAACATTCATAAGTTATGTGGATGTGTCTTAATATCACCTTGGGAAGGGATCAAAATGCATCATCTCTTAAGAATTCTTCTTCTTCGCTCGTTTCAGGTTTTCAGGTTGCAAGTGAATAATGGGATTCCTATTAAGAGTTGGTTTGATGATCAATCCGATTGTGCTCTAATTTCATTACTTCCCTTCTTAGAGTCTCTGGCTGACGTTGATGATGTCCGCCCTATCATTGCCAAGAAATTTGGTAACAAGGAATAAGAGCACCTCTCTTTCTCTAACTAGCTTCCAATATAGTTCCTTGACTTTCTATTTGCTTTTAAAATTTGGCCTCTAATTTAGTACCCAATTCTCTTCTTCTCTTCAGAATTAACCGCAAAATAAGCTATCATTTGTCTTCTTCTTGTGTCTGCCTTTTGTTGCTTGTTTCCTTTTCCTTCTCTCCTTATTTGACGACCCCGTGGAGTCTGCTATCTAATTTTTGTTTATCAAAGGTAATGCTAAAAAATGTCTCTGTTTTATTGTACAGTTAAATTTCCAATCATATAAGCATTGTATATGAATTATTTGTGAAATATAATCTTGCAGATTCCTGATTGGTGTCTTTCTTCTGCTGCTTTGTTAATTATCTTGTGTTTATATTCTCTCTTTTCCATCATTTCATATAAATTTGTAGAATGAAATCTTCTAGAAACCTTAATCCTTCCTTCTTAGTAGCCTCTTCGGTTTTCTCTATATTAGCTGATGCTGAAACCTGTAAGATCATAGCTTGAACTTTGGATAATTATTTCGCCAATTGCTGTAGGCTCATGTTTTCCTAGTTATTTATTAATTTCCATATGCAGACTATATTGTGGAAGAACAGTTGAATGAAAAACGCTAAATATGTCAATAATCCCTGTGAGCATATAGGTATTTAAGGCAATCCTCTTGTGAATGGTTATGGTGAGAGACACTGTAAGCCTATAGGAATTTGAGGCAATCATGAACGAGTTCATTTGCTATAGAAGGTTCTACCAACAAAAATAAGGTCCTATTATTACTATCTATATGCATTAATACTCATCACTGAGGAAGCTTTAAAGGATGATAGCAAGTTGAAATTAGTTAGTTTTAGTTGGTGTTATTCTAAGTGGTGAAGTCGAATAGAGAAATTCCATGCAAACAGAATACCAAACAATAGGGCCAAAGGTTAAGAGGTGAAGAAGAGTACAGTATTTTAATTTCATATGATTGTGGCTTTGATTGTGCTAAATAAAAGAAAAACTTCTGGTTTAGCTTATTAACACAAGACCCCGAGGAAATCAAGTATTTTTAAGAAGGGAAAAAATATTTGAGGCCTACATCTTGAATTCTGAACAGAAAGGTGAATAATCTGCTTTGAATAGTCATTTAGTTTACACTAGTGCATGGACAGAAGTGATTCCTGTTCTAGTGGTGGACACAAGGGCCGTCTTTTCAGATGAGTAAACGTGTATGGTATATCACCTTTCCTCAAGTTCTATCAATCACACTTGTCAATTGCTTGGGCACCTTTATATACTCAGAGAACTATAAGAAGACATTATGAACTAGAAACTGCTAGACTGCTATGCTTGAAATAAAGTAGTGGAAAGACGATATTTGTAGTGACTCCTTCCTCTTGGAGTTGAGACATGAGGGATAAAGCATCTTCTATAAGCAGGTGAGAGAGCTGGTGAATTTCAAATAGGATTTCAATTTTCCGTATCAGAATCTCTTTGCCAACTCATAGGCAGGCTTAGATCAAGTATTCCTAACCTTGGCTATTTCTAAGTATCGTCTTCCAAGCCTCACAAGTGATTCAAATGGGTGCTTAGATTGGCTTTTGCTCACATAATGGTAGGGAAGCGGAAAATGAATCATAATTAATAACCACTTCGGGAAGGGACCTAAGAGTTTAGTAGTCATAATAAACTCACTTGAGTTTTGACCGACCAGCATAATTTTATTGCAGAAGAGATGGATCATTATAGTAAATATAGAAGCATTTTCTGCACAGGTGTGTTGCAATTGATTCATATATATATGCATTGCTGATAATGATGTTTAATACATCATTCTAATACATTGATTTCATGCTTATGCCAGTGACATTGTATGCATATATTTAAGAAGTGATTGAGCGATTTCAGGTAAAATGGGACATATAGCCCTTTAGATCCTTGGAGTAAATTATATTGTTCCTGGGAAGATTTTCGATTTTGTGATACTTGAGATTCGGTAGGATTAGTGGATATATGGTATCCAATTAGGTGATTTACTCATTTGCAACACTTGAAGTTGTGCCATAGATGAGAGGTCCAAACAAGTTTTGTTCAAGAATCTAGATACAATGGTGTAAGATAGGAATGGATCCTGAGTTGGCAACAAAGAGACAATCTCAGGTTTTTATGGTGCAAGATTTTCTCAATCAGAGCTGCCTCCTTGTAGTGGTTCGGATTTTGGAATGAAGATGGTCTTGCTTGGTACAGAATGGAGAATTCAAGAGAGAAAAAGACGGTGGGTGCAAGCTTATTAGAGTTAGTTAAGCTACACTGCTTGTCATGCATCACATCTGTTTAATCCTTTGATCACCTTTGAAGCGTTATAATTTTGCATGTCTGGCCTGCAGGTCATATGATGAATTAATCTTAGATTTTATGCAAAAGGCAAAATAATAGGTATGCAGAATTCCATTGCTATTTTTAACTTTTCTTCTGAATTTTCTTAACACAGCTCCTGACAATAAATGATCCACACATCTTCTTCTTCTTTCACAAAACTGCTAATTTTATAGGGAAACGGTACATTTTATATTATAAGTGATTTTATACTGCTGTAACTTCATGAACTCTGCAATGCCACTTTTGTTATTTATCATTGTATCCTTTGCAATCGTATTAATTTTGGGTTGTTAGTCACTCAACTATTAGTGTAGTTTTATTGTTTATTGAATTTTAATTAAGATATAATTTTGAAAATGTGTTTAAAGATCAAACTGATAGCATTTGTAAGTATGAAAGGTAAATTCTTTTGAATTATTGAAGATTAGGAGCAAAGTGCCGTAATGTAATACAGTAATAGTGTTGATGACTAAATATTTTATTTTACCAATTTAAAAAGACTCACTATTTTCATTAATAATTTAACGGATGAGGATCAAAAACAGAATGTGTTAATAGTTTAATTTTAATTTTAATATTTATATTTTATATATATTTCATAATTAAACTAAATTAAAAATATTTGTATTATTTAACATTTAAATAATAAATCTCTTGGGTCCCCCGTCGGACGGGCCAAGAAACAAAGATAAAGTAAATAGACTTGGGCCGTACAAATGATTGGTTCAGCCCATGACGTTTGTATGAAGGAAAGAGAGGTCGGTTGGTTAGGTCATACAACAGAGGCGCAGCCCACGCAACGACGCGTGTCCAGTAGTGGGTCAGTGAATTTAGTATTTAATATATCATATTGTTGGATAAGCACAGACGGTTTAATCATTTTCTATTTACCAACGGAATATTTCTGGACTCGCTTTCTTAGCGCGTTCTCTCCACTGTCTCTGGTTTATTTATTATTTATATCATTTGCATCTATTTTATTGTTTATATCTAAAGTTTATAACCCTTTTGAGTATATGTACTTTTTATTTTCATAATTTATTTTTAACGATAATTTTAATTAACAATAAGAGGATAAAATGATTTAATATCGTATGGATAGTATTATAAATGGCAGTTAGAGATGGGTATTTGATTTAAATTTTATTTGATTTAAATTTTATTTGATCTAATAAGATTATTTAAAAAAATCGAATTTGAGTAGATTTTTTTAAGGATAAAGCTGGTCTGTAATTTAGGATGAAAAAATTTGGTCCCAATTGACTTGGGTAAAATTGTATAATTCATTATTATATTTTAAAATATGATTGTTATAATTTTTTAATATTTTTTTATTAAATCTCTATTTTATGTAATAGAAAAGAAAACTATATATATGTGTGTGTTAGTTGAGTCCAGTAATTATTTTCATATTAAAATTTGAATTGTATTTAGATTCAGATTGAATTTTTTAAACTTTGGTCTAGTTAAATGACACGTGAGGTATTATAATGTTAATGAGAGGAACTGGATAACGATAATATCATCATTTAGTTAATTGTTTAATATTATTGTTTTTAAAGTTTTGTGATCAAAATGAGATAATATACTGTGTAGGGACTAATAGTGTAATTTCCCGTTAAAAATAAAATATTTCACACTTATCTACAATGAATAATAACGTGATACGTGAAGACACACACGCGGCCACTATCAGCAGAAGTTTTAGTTTTTTGCTGGAAAGAAAAGAAAGTCTTTCGTTGTTTCTTTTTAAAGCGATTTTTCAAAAATTATAATTCCTCTTTTGTTATCTGCCTCTTTAGCTGCTGCCCTGAGTTTCTCAAAAGAGAAGAATCACGCGCACAAAAAACCTAAAACCGTTAAACGACAACGTTTCCCTTCTCAGATCTGACGGGAAAGAGCGAACCGATTCTGTTTATTTGTAGAGGGTGTATCCCGGAGAGAGGATGAGCGGGAAAGGAGGCAGAGGCGGTGGCGGAGAAGGAAATGATGGGTTGGGGAAGGGTAATAATACTGGATTTTCAGGTATTTCGCCTGGGTCACGGAAGATGGTCCAGAGCTTGAAAGAGATTGTTAACTGCCCCGAACCTGAGATCTATGCTATGCTTAAAGAGTGTAACATGGACCCTAACGAGGCCGTCAACCGTCTCCTCTCTCAAGGTTCCCTCCACCTTTTTTTATTTTTAAAGAAAAAGTTACTATTTTTTGTCGACTTCAATGGGCTTATATTCTAGGTTTTGGGCTAATGAAAACTTTATTTAGTTATTTGTTATGTGAAAAAGGGTAACTGCTGGAATTTCTGGGTTCGGTGTTTAACTTAGGTGTAAAGACAAAATATACTTAATTGCTAGGGTTCTTGGTTTGCTCGGAGTATATTTAGCTAGAGTATATTTCAAGCAGTAACATTATTATAATATATAAACATTTGCTGATAATTTATTTGTGTGTTCCATTTCCATGAACTGATTATTATGTTATCTACTTTGGAACTCGAAAGTAGAATCAGAAAGGCATATTTCGAGGAGATACTATCACTTATGTAATTCTCGATTGAATGCAAAAATATAGATTTCTTTGTTTCATAAAAATGGGGCCGCTGAAGTTTTGACTTCTGTACTGGTACTATATTTCATTGCTAATAAGATACTTGCAAAATGTGCAGATCCTTTTCACGAGGTGAAGAGCAAACGAGACAAGAAAAAAGAGGTTTGTGCCGGTCCAAATTATGCTACAAAGTTGTTTCTGTAAGAATGTTGAGCTTGACTAATTAACCAATTAACCATACAATATTTGTTTCCTCTTATTCCGACTGTTGCACCATTTGAGCAATATAGGGCATTATGTCAATCATATACATAATGCATATGTCAGATTGTCAGTTGGTTTCAGCATTTCAAATTGAGTGATAATCTAATTGACTTTTCACTGGACCAGCTTTTCCTTTGGAAGCTTTTAATATTTCCTAACCATTGCTG